GAGCTATGAAAAATCAAGAGCAGTCTACAACTGCAAGGACCACAGAGAATCCGACGCATTCGGAGAGGTCCCGACGGAAGCATCACACGCCGGACGCCGCAGAGCACAGGCCTTTCCAAGGCAGCGTTGGCAGGGTGTCACAATGCAATTTATGTCCTGCAAGGATGGAGGTCTCTGCTGATGCCACTGTTCTTTCAGTGCCAGCTGTGACTTTGGTGGCGTAAAATGTCACAGTGATGGCAGGCAGAGAAATTCAATCTCTTCATTTTAGTTTGTTGCTCGAAAAGCTTGTTGGTGAAGAAAATAAGTCAGAACATAGTCTTTTAAATCTTTTGCTGCTTAAAACTTGTTGGTATCTTTATTACTACTAATTATCAAAATTAAATCATACTTTCAAGGCTTTCCCAAATATGTTCGCATTTATTTTGTCATGACTGTATGGAATCTTACCAAAGCAGCATTTACTTCTTAGAAAAATGAAATCTAGATTGGAAATAAAAATTGGTAATTAAATTCATAATAGCAAAAACCTGTTGTAGATATGTGGTTAACCAGTCAACCTTATTATTTCATAGAGCAGCCTGTGTTAGAAGGATCCCAGGGAGTCTGTATGCTATGGTCTGCGATGACATTAAATAATCTTGTAGAACTTTTCAGCCAATCTCTATACACTTCTTTCTTTCTGTGCGTGTATACATGTACATGCATGCACACTGTATACACAGAGAGTATTGTTCTATACAAGAAGAGTTGAAAAAGCAGTTCATTTGATTTTAGCTTATTATTCCATAATCTGAGATCTTTAAATTCAAGTATAAATTGTATTAAATGTATTACATATTGGTATTTTTCATGGACAAACTATTTTTATGAGGCTGAGGAAATACGCTCATTTAAGTTTGGAATGTATATAGTAATGGCTATTCAGATGCACAGCCCTGTTCTCCATCCTTATCAGCCACTTTTCTATGACTAGTTGGATTTATTTTTTGCATATGAAAAGTTGCAGGTCTTCTAGACTTGAATTCAAATTATTTTTCTATATTTTTGCTGTAGGAACCATCTGTCCATAACAAGAGCTATGACTAATAAATTACTTAGTCTTTATGTTCTGAGTCTGTATTTCAGAAAACCTGTTTCTTCCAAATAATTAAAATCTTCTTTCTAAAATACTCTGGTGTTTGCTGCTTTGCAGTGCCTAACCTAATGGAACTGGTATCAATGGGAGGCTTTCATCTGAGTTTGGACTGGACTAAGCTTTTGCTTCTAGCTTGATTCTAATGCCACAGCGCACCAAACAGCCTTGCCATGAGAGCCCCTTCATGCTGAGCACATTTTACAGGAAGTTGCTGTTTAACATCCTAAGGTGTCAGAATCCATAGCTGGTGTCAAGTGACCTGTTGGTCTAAGTGTCAGAATGAGAAAGGTGTAAAGGTCAGGAAGAGCAGGAGGACACTTAAGTAGCTTTAAAAGTTTACACCTAGGTGACTGTTCACTATTGCTTTTTACCAATTTCCTCTGTCTGATTTCTGTTCTCTGACTACACTTCCTTAGTACTGACTGGATATTCCTCTCTGGGACCCTCAAAAGATAATCTCCAAGGGAAGAGTCAAGTGCATTCCCTAATTTTTATTTTTCTTTATATGCGTATACTGTGTCCCACATGTGAATATTGGTAAACCTGATTTTAAAAGGCCAGTAACTCATTGTCATCTGGAAGAGTGGTGAAAGAAAAATAAACATGTAGGTAGACATTGGCTTTCTAAGCACTGCAAGCACTGCTATTATCCTAGTTAATTACTTATCACACTTCTAATGTTTTGGAGTAGATGGAACTGAAATTCCAGAATCTCTGTTGTGCATACCCATCAGATAGGTAGCTTTTCAAAATTTATCTGCTGCCTTACAGTTTCACTGTAACTTCAGTCTAAGGGATTTATTTACAAATTCCATGCAGATATTACACGGGAACTTCTTATATTATCTATATATAAGTTGTGAAATGTGTCTCTTCTTGTAATCCTTCCTAAAAAAAAAGGAAATCTAACTTACCTGTAATAACATTATTCCTTACTTATAGCTTCTACACTTGATTATTACATTATTGAAAGTTACTTTATTCCTTAAGTCAGTTTCTCCCAAGTGACCTTCTTCAGATAAATAAATAAAATCTATAACATAAGTCATAACTCAGCACAACAGGACCACCTTGTGCTCTTCAGTACCAGCCAAGCTTTGATGTACTGGAGGCTCCATGTGTGACAGATCCAGGACTAACAGGTGAGACATGGCATTTCTCTTTTCTCTGATGATACAAAGACATCTTTTTTGTTAAAGAGCTGTGCACGGGTTTGGTTAGGCTGTAGAGAGGGCTGCTTGTGGGAATGCTGCAGTTTTAGCACACCAAGTTTTGACTAGTATCTGTACTGTTTGGGAAGGTTATTCCAATGCACATATTAACCACATTATATGTCTGTGCTCTGGAACTGTGTCAGAATCATCATCTTTCATTTCATGTGTGTCTGTATACTTGGAATTATATCTGCCAATTTCCTGGTAGTTACAAGCAGCCAAAAGCTCTTGGGCCCATCTTCAACAAAACTCTGCTTTATCTTCTCATTGTAGAGACAACTACCTGCAATTCTCCTTTTAAGGGACTTGTTGAGGGGAGCTGAAGGAATTTATGGCAGGGCAACTCTTCCCTTCCAGGACAGTCCTCTTTTATAAAAGTCCCCTCAATCAGCAAAGCAAATACAGCTGTTTGGCTTCACTCAAACACAAACATGGAATTCCCACTTTGTGCTCTTCCAGAAGTGGAAACACATCTTAAAGGGGCAGTATTTTAAAGCAGGTGGGGCAGTATTTTAAAGCAGGTTGAATCTATTTATCTTTTGTGTAAGATTAAATTCAAAGTAAGGGCAGAACCCAGCAAAATAAAGATCCACATACAGACAGCTGGAAAACTAAAAAGTGAAGGTAACTTAATGCAGTCAAGCTCTTTGGAAAACTTACATTAGTTAACCATGTTTGGGAAAAAAAGAAAAGATAAAAACCCCAACACTTAATGTGCTTGAAAATGTCTCCTTTAAAGAAAACCCAATTATTCTGGAATTGGAATAACCTGCTGAACATTTCTTTTTTAACATGATCTGTGCTATAATGATTTATAATTTTACAAAGATTTAAAGTAAGCCATTGTCACACCACTTGACAGTGCATCTAGTTCCAGTCACCATGAAAGTAAATGCTATCCATCTATCATAAAATGCTTCAGTGTCACTCTTAGCAGTTAATCAAAAGTGAACAGAATTCTATGATATAAAAAACATGCTGGAAGTGCCTACTTAGATAAGTTAAAAGGCCATGTTAGCACCCCATCCAATTAAAAACAAATAAGTAAAATCAAGTCCTTCTTTCTTTACCTTCTTCACCACAGCCACTTTCTCATTTCATCTACTGAAATTCAAGGAGGTTGTTTTTTATTCTTTTAACCACAAGCTAGTATGTCCACAACAAAGAGAAGACTCATTAATGCTGCTGTAAGGTAAATGGCACTGTACTACCAAAATACTGTACTACCAAAATAATTAAGTAAACACTGAGGTAGTACAAACTCAAAGTCCTGGAGGAATGTTCTCAAAACTTTCTCTTGTATGTCTTTTCTCACTTAAATTATATTCTCTGATTCTGTGTTTGTAGAAACCTTCTAAATTAAAAAGTTGAAAGAAATCAGCTTTAGACAGCCTTGTAAAAAGATTTTAAGGTGCATGGTAAAATGCTTAGACATCGAATAAATAGTGAAGTAGAAATCACACAGAAGTATTAAAAATTTCAGTCAGATTATTATGAAAACCAAATTTACAAACATAGTCTCAATGAATGGCATGTTCAAAGAATACTAGAGTACATTATGTTAGTATCCTTCTATAATTTCTGCTTTGTCCTTTGTTCAGTGAAGCTTTTTTTGTTGAGATAGGAAGAGCCTTCAGATTATTGATCTTCATACTTATTTTTAAAGAAAAAACACTAGCTTAAATAATCTAAAGGTCAGCTGGTCTTCCATATACACACCAATAGCAGAAAATTATAGTGCTCTACACCTTTATAGTCACTGCTGTTCATGGCAAAATGTCTCATTAAAAACACGTTAACACAGAAAAAAATTGGGGCTTTTTACTTGTGCAAATTATGTTTCAGGTCCTTATGGTTGGGAGCAAAACCTGAAAATGTGATGGCTTTAAATGACTTAGCAAATAAAACATTTAAAGTACACTTCTGTAATTCTAATAGTCTCCGGAATTTTAAGAACTTGCTTTTTGGCAATGTTCTCAAAGACAGCTGTATTTGCTGTGCTGGAGAAGCAAAAGTAGTCATAAAAACAGCAAAAAAAAACCAGCACCCAACTCTAAGCAAGGGGACAAAACAAAGCCAGGTTTTGTTCACTGATTTAGACAGCTAAAAGAGCTCTTGAAAATCAACGATCCAAACTTGCCTTTCCTCTGCTGATAGAAACATACAGCAGCTCTTTGTTTCAGTATCATTACTCAACATTTGCCCTGCTACAAGAATGTCTCCTCCAGCCTGCATGGGGAGGGGGAAAGAGGGAGGCTTTTTCTTTAAGCCACGGCACTTCAACCTCAACTTCTGTGCTTTGCTGCACACAAGTTGAGGTTGTGCCCTCCTGATCTGAAAGGACCTGCAGAAGGACATGGAAGGCCAGGTGTAACTCAGACTCTGCAGCCCCAGAAAAGCCATCCTCTGGCAGTGTGATACAAAACGCCACAGCTGCACCATCCTTGCCCTGGTGGCAGACCACACCACGGTACTGCATGTGTCTGTAAATGTGTGTCTCTCCAGAGAGAGCAGCCTTTTTACTCACACAGCACACTTCTTCCCTTCCTGTATTTCTCAATTTTCTCTCAGTGTACAAGCACAGGTGATCCCTTGCATTGCTAGTAAGAGCAAAAATGGTGATTTACCCTCACCAGAAGTGCCTTCTGGTCTCTGCAGCACGCGTACGTTGTACATTTGTGGCAAACTTCTGTCTAATAAAAGCTACTTACTTTTATCTGTTCTTCCCCCTTCCCCCTTTAAAGGTACAAATTGAGACTCACTGTAGTTAAAATTGATAAAGAGGTTTTCTTTTACACTGTGCAAGTACTCACTTTACAGTACAGCACAACAGAAATACAAATGGGAGTTACTGGAATGTTAAGCTGCATATGCTTGAGCGATTTTTTTAATCCATTTTTCTTCCTCCCTTCCCAACATCTAAAAAATAACCAGAAATAAAGCAGAAAACTCATATTTCAATGCTCTCTTAAAACAATTTCTTCCTGTGCTTTTCATTATCTTTTTCATCACAATTTTCTACCTAATCTTGAATAAAGGATCACAGGAGATAATCACCTCCTCTTCAACCATATAATGTAGACCTGTTCAGTCTATCAGACTGCATCAAACATTACCCATGCACTCTATCATTCTCAAGTGTAATACTTTCTGCTAATACAGCTGGTTCTTTCTTGTTTAGTACTGTAGGAATTTGAACAGCAACACTGTCCTGTTCACTTGTTTTACTGGATGCAGAAGGTGGTGGCTGAGATGGTGTCACAAGAAAAAGCAGAGTCCTTTTCACCTTCACTGCCCAGTTGTTCACAGGCTTCTTGCTCCCTGCAGCTTGGAATGGCATTTGGCTCAGTGGCCCACTGCCAGCACTCTGCCTTCCTCAGGGAGCCTGGGACTTGCTGTGCATGTTGTGGATGTGGTTTGAGAAGCTTCTTTGTGCAGCATCAGACCTTCACTATGGAGTCGTTTAAGAATTCCTGCAGAATGGGAAGCATTGCAAGCAGCTACCTTTAATGAAGATGAATTCTTGACTTTTAGGTCGGTACTTGTTGAGGGACCTGAGAATCTAATTGGCTGGAAACCCACTTTACATGGTAAACAGCCTTCTGCTTCAGTACAGCCAATTAATCATCTGTAAAACAAAGAAGTTCAATTTAAAAAAATGAACTATATATGTAAATTGTTATTTTTGTAACATTATTACAAAACAGACCATCTGCAGCAGCCTTTCACAAATAGGTTTCAGTGATACTGTAAGAAGCATAAATTAGTGTTCCCAACAGTTCATCACTACAATCAGGGCTGCCTTTCTGTGAATGGAACCATCAATCTCTTCTGCCTCTCTTAGAAGACACATTAAAAACTGTAGCAGTGAAGTGGCTGTAGGCTGGCTCAGGTGTCTGCGCCAGCAAATGGCTGCTTTTAGGTAATGTGTGGAGAATGGAGGTGTAATCACAAATATTGCAATAAAACTGTAGAAAGGAAGTTCTAGAAACTCCTTCTAAAAATAAGACATCTCACAGATGTGAAAATCAGTTCACCTTTTAAAGTGTTCACTTAAATTTCAGGTTTAGCAGTCCATTTAACTAATACTGCTTTGTAGTTTTCAAGTTACTCCTTACCAGGCTGCTGAGAAATCTCAGCAGCCTAAAAAAGCCTGTAATTTGTTTCTAGCAAGTTCAGTTGTGCAGTTAAGAGGTCTATGACATTCTTTAAAAATGTAAATTTAAAAAACCAGAGATATCTCAACATGCACAGATATTTAAGGAACGTGAAATTATAGAGGGGGGAAAAAAAGATGGTAGTGTATTTGTTAATTAATTTTACGCCACCTATGCAAATCAGCATACCTTTTATAAACTAGAGACATATGATGCAAACTGCCTCTCAGAGGGCATTCTTCCAGAGTCCAACATTCAGGCAGCTCCTGAGGCACTCTCAGTAGCTGACACCTGCATTTCATAGCAGCATTGTACTGATGAGCTGAGAGAACACAGCCATGCATGTTTCCACCTGACTAAATATATGAATACATGTATTTTATTAGGCAGAATTTCAGCTCTCAACCTGCTGACATGAGCATTGCTGACAGCCAGCATGGGGCTTCGTTCATGTCAATTTCTGTCCCCTCTCTGGAACATCCCATGAAACATTTTCTTCCTTCCAAAGAGACACTACTATTTTACAATGTTATCAAAGTTTATGCAGAGGTTTTTATTATACTTAGTTGTAAAATATTTTTTTCTTATTTTTATGTTAAAAAGTGGTATTACTGAAATAAAAAATTATTACTCTACCTCTCCCTTCCCAGGCATCGAGAGCATCCCTCATCTTTTTCAGCTCAGCTCCTGAGTAATACTCCAGATGTACTGGATGTTATTTCCAGCTTCTCTAGGAATATTGTTTTAAAGGTAACAGCTATGTGATTAGTTAGCTAAGTCCTTAGAAATGTACCATTGGTGAAATGTATCATTCTTTTTACCAAATCCTAACTATAAGGACTTAGCAGTAAATGTTTTATAAAGCAGAAAGGAAAATGTTACTCTGATTTTGGTTTTATTCAAATAAGAGGTTCTAATACTCCTGTGAATGCCTATTGCTAAAATTGGATGTTCATGAAAAGATAGATGTTCATAGAAGAATAATTACAGAATTAATTATGTAAAACCTATTTTTCTAGAATACACAGTAGGAGAACAGATACCTGATATGTTGCCAAATACCCTTGGAATAAATATTAATGTTCCCAGCCTAAATTTAGGAAGATATGCGTCCTAATTTTAAATATGATAAAGTATCAAGAGCTCTATCTTAATCAAAAGATGCACAGTGACACTTCTGACACTGCACTGTGAGAGTGACAAAGACCAAGTGCTTCCAATTGTAAGTACAGGTCTCTCAATAACTTCCAATTACTGCCATGTAAATACATTAATAGTGTAGTACAGCTGTACACGTTCTTTAAAGAATTAAAACTATTTCAACTTGGCTTCTCAGTGTTCAGCTATCTTAGAAAACTGCACAAAAGAAGTGCAAGAACCACAACCAACTTTGCAAATATTTCTGGAGGTTTTTCTGTATGGGGATTTAGTTACTGTATTTAGTTTAAATATTAGAGAATAATTTTTAATTGTTATTTTAATTGTATTTTAAAAATGGTAAGTCAAGCAGAATAAGAACTTAGAGCAACTGCATGCTAACCGTCTTGTGTGTACTGTCTCAAATTCTTAACCTCCAGACTTAGTTTTTGTCTTGTTTATTTGTTTATTCTGGCCATTCTATTATCCAGCTACTCTGGGAATTGGAAAGATTCCTTCCACAGATTTATAGTACAATATACTACAATAATGCTGCATTATGCTACATAGTATAATATTTAGGCATAGTTATAATATGTATTTATTCTCACTTCAGAGTGCTTTCAAGTTTGACAGTCACCCTACCTTTTGTACATGCATTTACTAGGAATTTTCATTCCTAGCACCTTATTAATTGCATCAGTCCCATCAGCTCTTGTGGCATGCACACCCATAATTTTACTTTCACAGTTTGCTCCAGAAATGTTGAGATAGTGCAGGACCCAAACTGTAGGCTTGGTGCAAACTAAATGGTGAGAAGCACAGAAATCCAACAAAGCCTAGAAAAAAACATATAGACTATTAATAAGAATGCAGTATTTTTAGTTGAATAAGCATTTATATTTAAGTTTTCTTAACTGAACTAGTGAGCTCTTTTAAGTAAATTAAGGATATAGTTTTTCTAGAATAACGTCTGCAGTTACTTCTTATCTGATGTTACTAGAGAATGTTGTGAAACTAGGAAGCGCAGAAATCCAACAAAGCCTAGAAAAAGCATAAAACATATAGAATATTAATAAGAATGCAGTAATTTTAGTTGAATAAGCATTTATATTTAGGTTTTCTTAACTGTACCAGTGAACTCTTTTAAGTAAATCAAGGATATAGTTTTTCTAGAATAACGTCTGCAGTTACTTCTTATCTGATGTTACTAGAGAATGTTGTGAAACTAAGAGGTTCAAAGAAAGGCAACAGAAATAGTTAAAGGCAAGGCAACTCCTTAACATGCAGAGAAACTGAAGACCCGGAATTGTTTTACAGTTTTCAAAAGGAAAATAGTAAGGGAGAATGTTAAATACAGAGAAAATAACTTGCTAAGAGAACACAGATGACTCTCAGGAATAACACAGCCAGAGCTGGTAATGTGAGTTAATTTCCTGCCAGTTAATTAGAATTAGCTTTTAAGTTACAATACTCTAAAACCTTAGGATGTTAAATAATACACTAATTATATTTTCTCATTCTATAGAAATGTCAGAGTACATTTTGTATTACAAGTTTTAAGAATAATTTGTAAAACAGAAAAATAAATCCCAACCCAAACAACTTGAAGGGATCAAATCTAATTTCAAGTAGGATTTGAAGCCAAATAGGACGGCCTGGAATTGTTTTACACTTTTCAAAAGGAAAATAGTAAGGGAGAACGTGAAATACAGAGAAAATAACTTGCTAAGAGAACACAGATGACTCTCAGGAATAACACAGCCAGAGCTGGTAATGTGAGTTAATTTCCTGCCAGTTAATTAGAATTAGCTTTTAAGTTACAATACTCTAAAACCTTAGGATGTTAAATAATACACTAATTATATTTTCTCATTCTATAGAAATGTCAGAGTACATTTTGTATTACAAGTTTTAAGAATAATTTGTAAAACAGAAAAATAAATCCCAACCCAAACAACTTGAAGGGATCAAATCTAATTTCAAGTAGGATTTGAAGCCAAATAGGAAATTAAATTTCCTTCCTACTGCACAAGTTCTACAGCAGACTTGCATGTACAACACAGCATTTAAACTATTGCTGTATTACAATGATGCTGTCCTTAATTATACTGACTGCATTACCAACTGTAGGATTTCTTAACCTAAAACTCTGAATTTACTCATGATTTAGTGTGGTCACTAAGAAGTGCTAACTTGGACATTCTGTAGCTTTAGTGTTGGTGCTAAAGAATGGCATGGGTTGGAGAGTTCAGCATCAAAAATGTTAAGAAATGTCAGGACCTTTTTAAGCACTATACTGGACCTTAAAGAGTGTATTTCCAGTTCATTGGCCAAATGACCAGACAGACTGTATGGATAAGGCATTCCAAAATAATTTGTTTCAGGCTGAAGTGTAGTTCCAACTTTTTCATCTCCAGGAATCTGAATTTCTCCATGAAGATAAGCCAGAAGATATTTAAACAGGATTCCATCTCAGTCAATTAGACATGCTCCTGAAAACACTAAGTTATTAAAAATACTTTACCAAATCATCAAGTACAGCCTTTTGTACAAAACTTCTGTACTGGTTTTACTGAGGAGGAGTAAGTATATTGTCTTTACTCTTTTTAAATGGTATTTTGTTTTCCTGGAATATTTGTTATTTGAAGATAAAATTCTTAGTGCAGTAAACATTTCTTTGGCGTTTCAGTGAAATCACTAATCTGCATAGGACCATAGCAACATACAGTCTCAGCTGTGCTGCACTCTGCTTAAAATGCTAAAATCTAATTCTAGACACATTTCTCATTCTAACTGTAGGTGCATCTTTACTCACTGTTGCAGGGATCTGTTCAATTTTGCTTCTAGATTATTTAAAATAGTTAAAATCAGCATCAGTTCCAGTGCACATCTAGTCAAGCCTCTGTATATTGCTCAAGTTGTACTGTGTGTGTTTCTTTTTCTCTCCTTTGCCTGAAGGGCTCAAGGACCCCATGAAAACCAGCCAAACCATACAGTCTGTACAACAGGCTGTTCGCTGCAATTATGAAAGATGGTAGCAAAGTCCTGCTGTGTTATGCAAACTCCTTATGTTAAACATTTTGGGTATTTTAAACAATTTGATGTATGCAACATCATCCATCATTCTTCATCCATCGTCTCTTTTAACTGGATCTACTTTGGCAGGATTTCTAAGTCACAAACAAGTGTGAAATTTGACCCCTGAATAGTTTTATTCAAACTTTTATATCAAGCCATGGTGGTGAAAAATGCAATTTTTTACTGTCTGAAACAAAGATCAGACCCAAATCTCTTTAGGTAATGAACAGAGGGAATGAGATGCCTTTGGAAATTATAGGGGTTCACAGACAGACCCAAGATAAATGCCAAACACTCTGCCAACTTCAGTTCTTCAGTTTTATCTATTTTTGTATTCTTACTGAAGAAGTACATTCCAAAGCCACAGTTTGGACAGGGACATGACACTGTACAAATGTGTGTATTTGCAAGCACAAACAGACTTGTGGAATTCAAATTCAGATGAATTATCTATACATATAAAGTCATGCATGCAAAATTGTTTTACAACCTGGAATTAGAAGCCAACTGATGCTCAGCAGACTGGGAAAAGATATACTATAAAATGCATAAATAGACATAAAAGCATGTATTGCCAGAGAGCTCCATGATCAGAATGTGTATATTCACCCGCTTCATCCACTTTCAGAGGAAAGCGTCCACTAAACATGGACACCAGTGTGGAATCCTTAAAGCGGCACACAGACTCGTGCCTGGCCAGGTATAAACACGCACATTCAATCAGAGAATATCCTGGACATCTTCAGCCTTGCCCTCTTCCATTGCATTTGCCAATGGTGATGTCATTATGAGCTATTCAAACCTAAACCAGATACAAATAGAAATCAAACTAATGCCAGCTACAGACTCAACGTATCGCATACAAGACCTAAGCGATAGCTCAGCTCTTGCACATCTGTAACAGGATTCCACTTTAAAAACAGTTCTGGAGACCTAGTAATGCACGTAGCCAAATATTCTACACCTTTAGTGTAACAAACTATGGCATTTCACTTTGCTAGGAAACACAAAGCTTACTCTTTCCAGACAAATAGGCAAGCAGAGTTATGTGGTGAGGACGTGTGACCAGAGCTCTGGAAGGACAACCTGGAAAATACTGAGCATACTTCACAGCACTGAAAATGCAGCTCATTTTGAAACAATGACACCGTGGCTTCTTTAAAAACCGATCTTTCATTAGGACTGCTTTAACTTCCCGGGCCCCTCGCTCGCCCCTCCCAGCCCCCGGGGCGCTGCTCCGCCCAGGAGCGGGAAGCGCAGCGCGCCTCGCCCCGGAGCAGCGCCCAGCGCCGGCAGCGTTACCTGCGCCGCAAAATGGCAGCGGGGAGGGCTGGGCCGGGCCGAGCGGGGACAGCAGAGGGGCAGCCGGTGTTCCCCGGCCGTGCCATGCCCTCCCCGGAGTCCCAGCCGGGTGCAGGGGCCCCGGGCTCGGCTGCCGCTGCTCCCGGCAGCGGCTCCCTCAGGCGCCCTCCAAGCGCGGCTGGCCCGCCTGCAGTCGGCTGCTCTGTAAGGCACAAACCGTGCTTAATTTTTAAATATTTTTATTATTGTTATAAAAGCGGGTTTACTTAGAGTGGGCTTGATTCTATTGCTGTTTCTACAGTCTCCATAGTAAGAATGTTAGGATGGTTTGGCTTGGAAGGGAACCTTGGAGATCATCTACTTCCAACTACCCCCTGGATGGGGCATCCACATTCCCTGGGCAGCCTGTTCCAGTGCCTCACCACCCTCACAGAAAAGAATGGGTTTTTTCCTAACAGCTACTATAAAGCTGTTCTCTTTCAATGTGAACATGTTTTCTCTTTTCCTGGCATTACATGTTTGTATAAATACTATTGCTCATCTTTAATATAAGTTCCTTTAAGGTACTGGAAGGCTGCAGTTCGGTCACCCCAAAGCCCTGTCTTCCCCAGACTGAACAAACACAATGCTCTCACCTTTCCTCAAAAAAGAGGTTCTCTATTTCTCTGATCTCTTGGTGACCTTCTCTGGACTCACTCCAGCAGGTCCCTGTCCCCCCTGTGCTGGCCCCAGAGCCGGCTGCAGGGTTCCAGGTGGGATCTCAGAGGGGCAGAATCCCCTGCCTTGCCCTCTGCCCACGGGGCTTTGGATGCAGCCCAGGACACGTTTGGCTCTCTGGGCTGGGAGTGCCCAGTCTGGCTCACGTCCAGCCTCTACTCCACCAGTTCCCCCCATGTCCTTCTCAGCTGGGCAGCTCTGGATCTGAGAGCAGCCTGAGCTGGCTCCTGACATGGTGGTGCTGGGTTGATGGCAGATGATCTTGAAGATCTCTTGCAGTATTGATGATTCTGTGATGCAGTAATGCAGACAAGATGCCTCACCCTCATACAGTCCTTTTAAATTCCTTGTCTGACATACAGTTGTGTGGTCATCAAAAATGCATACAATAAACAACAGAAAGGTGAAAATAGGTTCTTGTTACACTTTTGTCTCAGCCTCATTACACAAAGTTACACATGAAAAATATTTCTAAAATACAGCTGCATTTTCTTTTAAAAAATTGCAACATTTTGTCTAGTTCCCATTTAATTTTCCTTTATTTGCTTACAAAGTTTGGTTTTTTGCCCAATCATACAGTAAGAAACTGATCATTTTGGATACAACTGCCAAGTAACTAGGAGTGCAAAAAACAGCGCCAAACTTTGGATTTGTGCAGACTTTCTGGAAGGTATGAGCTGGTTATATGTTTAGAATATATAATAGAAATAATATATTTTATATATCATATTTACTATATAATGAGATAACTAAATCCCAGATATTAACACTGTATTTTTATTGCTACCTGAAGTCCAGTAAAAATCCACTTACTTAACTCTACACTGCACTTATAAGAAATGTGCCTACATTGTATTTAAATAGTTTACTCAGTTATATTTACAATTCCTTTTGATTTTCATCTTGTATCATTCTAATTTTTTACTCCTAATTTCATTTTGGAGGTGTTTTGTCACCAATTTAATGCATTCAAAGCTTCAGCTACAGGCTGACTTGCAAAAGGGGTCAGACCAAATGATATGTAACACACAGCAACTACCGTTCCACTTGTGTTGCTTGCTTTATTCTGGTCTGTTACTACATTTTTATTTTTGACATTACCTAAGTATTCATGGACTGCTTTGTTTTCAGTTAATATTTAGGACCATAAACTTTCAATTCAGACTTCAGTCAAATGAAGAACATTAGAGGAGAGAACCAAATCAATCACATAAATCATCATCTGGTCCTAGTATGGGGATAATAAATTCTTTTTGAAATTGTGTAACTCCGAATGATAACTTACTACTTAAAACTCACTTTTTATCTTAATGCAGATTTGCATTCCAATGGCAGTTCAGGCCATTTAGTAAAGCCATAAAGTACACACATTTAATTTTTCTTGGCATATAATTATGCTGCAGTTGCAGCAAAGAGAGGGAATGGCATGCCAAGCACCAAGGCTCTCCTGGACATTTCTTGACCAAGAGAAGCCAGGTTTCTTATGCTTAATATCTAATGAATTAACAGAAGTTACATGTGATTGAATGCAATATAGGCTGATAATTCATGGATATTGGATTTACTGTAAAACAAAAGTATACTAGATGGTTTTTATGGAAAAATGGTATCTAGTTTTACTGTATCTTTAGTGAGGATATGTTTTCCTGTACTCACTGGGAATAGTTCATGCATAGTAATTGCAACTTAAATGTGGCCATTGTTATCAAATGTTATAGTGTAAGTACAGCTTTTGGTCTTTCTGACTCTAAAACATTCACTTCATGAAGCTGCAGCTTTCCATGCTTCTTTTCACGTTTAAGCTGGCTTGGTTTTGCCTCAAAAGTCTGAACAATGTTCCTGTATTTCTGTACTGTGAGACCAGGACGATATATGCAGTTTCAGTCAATACACACACACACACACACACACACATATATATATAAACAAACAATGAAATAGGTTTTGTTTGGACCTCAGATTTAACCAGATTTAATCATTATGATTCAGGCTTAGTACAGCATTTACTTGGCATAGAAGTGTGCAGCATAACCAGCCCCTACAAGCAAAGTGCCTTTTGAGCTGCGTGTTTTGGGAAATGAACACAGGGATGGTTTTGTTTTGGTGTTCACTAGTTTCCCAAGGAAGCCAGGCTTACATACTCATCCTCTATATATTTGTGTTTCACTTCACCAATTTCAGTCAAATTTGATGGAGAGGAAGAGGCATTAAGAAATGGATTTTTCATTAAGCTTGTGCAAGAAGTGGTGTGATTAGAGGAAGATAGGTTCTTAATACTATAATGTCAGGAAAAGCTGTATCATGAGCTCAGGTCTTGTTGGACATAAGAAAATCCTGAAAGAGAGAAGCTGTTCTACATAATCAACTCACCAGAAGTGCTTTAGTCATAGCTCACACTGTATTAGGTACTACAGGATTAATTTCTCAACCAAGATTCTTCTCAGACATTAATATGTATGTATCTAGTAAGGTACAAGTTCAGTTCCCACATGATTAGAGCTTTCACAAGAATCTGCATGTCTTTCCCTAACTACCTTTCATTTCTACTCAGTTTAAAGACCAGTCATAGGATCCCAAGTGACTGAAACTCATAATTCTGCTCTTAATATACATTTAAGATATATAGGCTGTGAAACTTGGCAGTGCTTTAAGTTCTTCCCTGCTTTGAGTAGCTGGCAATTAACTGGAGATTTGTACATGTGAAGTGTTCCAGCGTGGGAGTTCCTCAGTGAAGGGTAAAGGAAAGTATGACCATGGGTGGAAATGCAATACTTCACATTTTATTTTAAATTTATTGCCCACAGTAGTGACATAAACACTAAATGGAAGCAAATTGGTGATTGCCTCTTCAAGACCTGAGACGGTTGTGGAATTGGAGGAAATGAAAACTTGGATCTGGAGGAAAACACTGCCTTGTGGAAAGGAGGAGGAGGAGGTAAGTTTTATTAGATTGGTTTTCTGGTTTTAAAGTTAGGTAAGGTTATTTGCTCTTTTATTTGGCCAGAGTTTTATAGTGGCTATGGTCACTTCCAAGTTTCCTTGTAAGGGAAAACATACCAAAGGTATATGATGTGTGCTGGATCAAAGATGTATTTTAAGGGTTTTGCACTTCAGGGCCACACTGAGAAACTCTGTCATACATCATTCACTAAAAAAGGTAGAAGCGAGGGACTCTCCAGATGATGTTTAGAGCAGATTAGGAAAATAGTAAGTTCATGAAGATCCATTTTCACATAATGCTACTTACATTTCATGTGTGATTCCTTTGACTTACTTTATAGAATATTGTAATGTTGGCACACAGCAAGGTGAGGTTTGTGATGATTACTGCATTAGAGAAACTGATGCTTTTTATTCCAACCCTCTGAATCTTAAAAAAAAAAAAACATAAATTCAGCTTACTCTTACCAATTCCTGGGTCAATTTAGCAATTAATGTCTACCTGAGCTAATGGTAGAACTGGGCACATGTAGCCAGTAAAAGAGAATGTATGCAAAGAGAGTGTTAAAGGGCTTTTGGACTTAAAAGAGATTTTTGGGAAAAGCATTTAATTAGACTAAAGTACTTCATGCAGTTCACAATCCTAATATTACCTGAACCACATTAAAACTGGGCTTGCTCAAATTCTGTTGTCAGAGACTTCCTGCCCTTCCAAGTCTGTAGGCATGCAGGCAGCATATAATGTACTAGGCTGTGAATTTATCACAGTTGTCTTCCTAACTGCCCTGATTGCTGTCTATACATTGTCATTCCATGTGTTACTAATGGCTCAGAATCAGCCAGAAAGAAATTTAACTTGCCACTGAGAAGGAATTACATGTTTTTCTCCCTTCAACCTAAAGGAAGTCTTTGAATGAAAGCCAGACACCTCAAACTCTTCCTAAACATCTCTGACAGCTAAGTGGAGTATCTGGAGTTTTCTACTCCAATTCTCACAGTGCACTGAGATTGATAGTAAGTGTTCATATCCTTAATGTCTATTTTTAAAAATTTTATTGTATTATTATGTTATGTTATTATTAAATGCTATTAATGGTTGGTATTGAAAATGGTTCCCAAAGACACGTATCTAGGAAGTGACAAACGCCCAACTCCTTTTTAAACCACAGAGATGTCACTAAAGAGCCGGGAGCGGGGACTAGCGGTTACTGACCTGTGCGTACCGCACTCCTGAGGCGCCCTCGGCCGCGGGTCGGAGCCCAGCCGCGCTGTTTTCCCGGGCACGTTGTGCTCCCGTGTGCTCCCGTGTGCCCCGCACCGCGGCCGCTCCCCGCTCCCCGCTCCGGGAGCCGCGCGCGCCCGGCCCGGCCCAACGGCGCCGCCTNGTTGGCCCCGAGGGCCCTGAGGGCTCCGGGGGCGGGCGGAGCCTCCCGGCGCCTCCTCAGGGCGCGGCCCCGCCCGCCCGCGCCTCTGCCGGCCGGCCGGGCTCTGCTTCCCTCGCTTTGTCTCTTTCGGGTTAACTTTGCACCGTTTGTAGTGCGGTTCATTTAAACGCGTCGGTTTTAAATCTGTCTGACAAAGCGCAAGCTGGTCTGGTCGTACGGTGAAGTGGTAGAACCTGGGGGTTTCCCCCTTGTATGTGTGAACTCGGATAGTTAACGTGAGGGAATAGGCGAGCTAAAAAAAAATCTGTGATCGTTTCAGGTTTCATGGTTTACTAGTTAAGTATTGTGTCTCTCTGTGTTAATGTCTCATTGTGTTGATTAATACATTAATCTGTTTTAATTAACTGAAGAAAGGTAAAGACTGAGGCAATTCTTTCGACTTCAGGCCCAAAAATCCTCATAAGACAAAATAAACTCAATTTTGAAAAGTGCCAAAAAGATCATCTATTTATTTGTGCATTCCCCTTGACGGTATACAGATTCATTTTGAGGATGGATAAAGGTGCAACTCCTAAATCATCATCTGCTGTGTTCACCTCAAATGCTGCTAAAGGATGGATGAAGAAGAGGGATGGAGCATTACAAGCTGCAAAATGGAATGCTTCTTTAGCTTCTAAAATCAAAACTAAATTAATAAGTAAGTCCTGTTAAAATGAAACTGAAGCCATATATTGTACTTAGAATTTATGGCTTCAAAAAGAATTGTAATCATATTTAACATGAAATTCTGCCTGTTACAACTATTCTGTAACAGATAAATACAGGTAGGTTTTCATAAAGACAGTGGGAATATATATTTTTAATATAAAGCTTTTTTTTTTCTTTAGATTGTCAAAACTCACATTTATTATGAGAATGTTTGCATTTGTAATATTTATAATTTTTTAATATTTGAAAATATTTTTATGCCTGTGAAGCTATCAAATTTTAAAGGTTTTCTTCTTAAAATATCCAGACTAGAGTAAATCTATGCATGAAATAAACTTGAAATAGACAGGGTGGTCATCAGAATGACAGCTACATAAACTATTTTATATTGGAAAGTGTTAGGCTTTGTTGCTGTAGCACCAAAACCTAGAGATAAAAACGTTGTCTATAGTGATGGTGCACACAAAGAGGGCCTGGAACTGAAGCTGTTGAAAATAATTTTATTTTGTCTCCTTTAGATAACTCATCTATGTTTAAAGTATCTTTACAACAAAATAACAAAGCATTAGCTGTGGCTTTGAGTGTTGAAAAAGAAAATTCTCGCAAGCTAAAGAATGAGAAGATTTTTCTTCAGAAGGAAGTAGAAAAACTGCAGCTTCATAATATCTCACTTCGTCAAAAACTGACCAGTTTGGTATGCTGCAAATAATATTATTTAAACTTAGAGCAGCTAAACTAAGCTTTTATCTTTTTTTGAAACTTAGTATTACTTCTAAAGTGGTGGCTTAAAATACATGTTTCAGATTTGTGAAGTTATATCACCTGACTGCATAATATTTACGTTTAATTTTTCCTTTTTAGCTTTTTTTGAACTATTTTGTCTATCAGGGTGTATGTCTATAGCTATTTTAGTCCCAGGTTCAGGTTTATGTTTATAGGTAATAAAATGAGTTTGTGCTCAATTAAGTAAAAAAAAATTGCAGCATAAACTCACCTTTTATATCTTGTCTCTTCTTACCACTTAAAATATATTTTTTCTATTATATGCAGAATAAAACTCTTATTGGAATAGAGGCATTTTTGAATGAAAACCTCTTAACTGCAATAGAAATAAGCAGTCCTTCTGAGGTAAGATGTTTTTTCAATTTTACCATATTGAACACATCTTCCAGGCTAAGATTGTCAGAGCATCAAATTGAGTGCAATATTGAAATACTATTTGTATTGTAAAACATTTGCCTCAACTCCTTAAAACTTTTTAAAAGCTTAAACTAGTATATTAAAATTGATGGAATTTTACTATACTGAAAATTTAGCATTTAATCTGGTTTCCAGAGTATCTAAAAGTTAAATATCAGTTAGACTGAAAGAAGAATCATGTGGTTAAAAAAAAGCTTAGCACTTCAGCATGCAGTGAGCAAGCTACCTGCCTTCCTTGCTTAGTGTTGCAATAAATATCTTACATCTGGAAACTTAACCAGAAAACATAGTCCATGTTAGTTCTTGTGTCATGGAAAAAGTAGAATTAGTTTTTTTGAAAGGAAAATATTGTGTTGTCTGTTCTCAACTTGCTTAGTGTTGCTCTGTGCTTCTATATGTGTAATGTAGTTTGTATGAGTTACAGATACATTTAGAAAGTCTCTACATTCCTTTGGAATAAAAGTAGGTTATGTATTTTGATGAATTTTGTAACAAAATATTTCACTTCAAAATTATTGTATGTGTGTGAATATCACGTGTATTCCATCAGTGCATGTGTTTTTTCCCCATTCATTTTGTGGGGTTTTTTTCCTTATGGGTATTTCCAATACTTAAAGCATAAGAGAATATTTAACTATTTGTATTTCCCTGCTGTTCTTTTGAAAGGACCTCCAGAGTTCCTTTCCCCTGTCAGCTGGCCCAAGCAGCCCTACTGGAGGCAAGTTCAGGAGTGCACGTCGGTCAGCTCGGTACGTGCTTGTATGAAATGCCAGAGGTGGTTGGTGTCTGTGGCTTTCTCTTGCAGCTCATCTTTGTGCATTGTCCTAGGGAGTTTTGAGATAATGAGAAACCATTTTCTGTTTAATCCAGAAATTTCCTATTTGTGGCTCAGAATTTAGAGTGGTAGACAAAACTTGTGTTTGAGTAACTCACTGCTTGTATCATGTGATCTCACCAGCCCAAAGAAGGATTTGTTATCATCAAAAATACATTTGCCCCAAGACAGAACCCAATATCATACTTAAGATCTTGTTTTCAGCTATTATACATTATTAAGGGAACATTTTGAACAATTGAATGTCACGATGGAAAATGTAATAAAAATCTTCACAGTAAAATTTTCTCTTTCAGATCTCTAGAATTGCCAGCAAAGCTTCCTTTCATTGCAACAGCTAATGCAAAGCAGCAAGGTAGCCCTTCTCTGGGCAAAGCATCAAATTCTTACAAGTGTTCCACTAATTTCACAGAGGAATTGCATTCAGATCAAGTCAAGTTTGCATCACTCTTGTCTCCTGGTACAAATAATCAAAAGTTTATTGAAACAGAACCAATGGTTGACAAGAATAGATTTTTGAAAGGTATGATGTATTTCTGTGGGATTTATTTTTCACGCTCTCTGAGATTTAGTATTTAATAATTCATTACTCAATGTGCAGTACAGAAGGTATAGTAAGATTCATAAACTGTAATAAACTAGTGAAAAATAAATGCTTATCCATAAGTATAGGTGTCCTGACAATCATATATAGAATAATACTCGTTGAAATTACATAGCTAAGATAATCAAATAATAGCTCAAGTAGTTATAGAAAATTAGTTTTATTTATGTCCAATTTGAAAAGTCCAACTTCAGTTAATTATGAAATTAGCTTCAGTTTACTAAATTTTTAAGGGCCAACCATAGAATATGTGCATTCAGTAAAAAATAAAAAGTATAATTTTCCGTACTTCTGGTTCAGCCTTCAGTAGTTTTATGCAGATAACTACATTCCATTCTTATTTTCCCTGAGCTTCTGAAATTTTTCTCTTTGCAGAAAATCAACTGTGTGCAGAATTAAGTTGCAATAGTGCCTTCCTAACTAATGGAAAAAATACACAATCCTTAGAACAGCCTGAGGAGCCTGCAGAACAATATCATGGTAGTTTATTGCCATCCTATGAAAATGTGACTGAAAGAAAGAAAAATGCAGTACTTTGTAAGTCAAAAACTCAACCTAACATAAAGGATTTTGATAAAAAGTGTAGGTCATTGAGTCTGCCTCACCTAATCATCAACAGTAGCAGCAACACCAATGATAAGAATTTGCAGGAAGGTTCAAGTGACTTGTCTTGCCTTATTCCTTCACCTCTTAAATTTAACGGTGAAAGTGAGACAGATTTTAACAAGCTGCTTTTTACTGACAAGATGAAGCCTGAAGAAACTGTTTATGATGCTGATATGGAGTTGACTGCCAGTGATGCATGTGAATTACTCACAGTTACAGCAAAAGGCAATTATAAATTGCACCAAAATAAAATTAATAATACCAATTCTGACAAAATATTACCAAATTTCAGAAAAGTAAAATATTCTAAGAAGGATAAAGAAAAAATTAAAAGAAAGACTGAAGTCTATTCAAATTTGCATGCAGAAGAAAGGCTCTCTAGGGCTGACAATAGTGAAACTTTGGAAACTACTGCTTCACAAACTCAGCTATTCCAAAGTCAGACAGAACAGCTACCTACAGGAAATTCTGTAGAGCAACAGAATAGAACAAGTAAAACTAAGGATTCCAGGAGGACATACCAGGTTAATGTAATGAATCCAAGAAAACAAGAGACAAGTAGAGGAACAGTCTCAGAAATGTTTGGAGAAGTGGAAAGCAGAATACAAAAAACAGACTCGTGCTCATCTGTTAACAAGATCCCATCAGAAGTTTATTGTGTTGAAAATTTACCATTCCAAGATAACATTTCTGATGCATTGGCTTTACAGAAGGGCTTTCTGAATACAAATGAGAAAGATAACAAACCAACAATAAAGAGGAAGACTTCTCAAAACCTTTCCAAAGCAAACACAGAAAAATCCTGTAGAGAGGAAAACGGCCAGTATGGAGAATATATTTCCAAAAAATCTCAAACAGAGATAAACCAATGTGACAGCAGCAAGAAAAAACAAGACCAGAAGAATATTACACAGAGAAAAAGCAACAAAAAAAGTAGTTACAGACAAGGTAGAGAAACTGCAAGTGACAGCCCTTCTAAAGTTAGTCAGAAAGTAGACCAAAAGAGCAGCCATTTTTCACCAGGCAGATTGAAGCGTACATTGGCAAGGGCCAGCCGGAACACATATGTAATACCAAAGGAAAATCTTACACGGTTCTCAGTTTGTAAAAATGAAGAATTAAAAAATAAAGATTCATTGCTTGCAGAGGCTGGAAAGAAAGTAACTGTAACTCAGCAAATGCAAGTAGCTTTAGCTACTCAGAATGGTG